GGGGGGTCAGCCCCACCATTTGTACAATTTTGAATCCCCACCACCTAGGGATGCTTCCAGTCAAATTTAGTTTAATTCCAACCAGTGGTTAAGAAGAAGAAGTCGTTTAAAGAAATTGTTGACGTACGGACGGACGGACGCCACGGTATGGCATAAGCTCACCTTGGTCCTTCGGACCAGGTGAGCTAATAACTGAACACATTTGTTTTCTAATCTAAACTTATGTGTATGATTTACTTTGTCTCGTAAGGCAAATCTGTCTGGTTTCACTTTTAAATATGTAGTTATATATATTACATATTTTTTATATCAAGTTGAATAATGTGTGTATATTATGTTTGTGATACATGAAACATAAATAAAATAATTAATAAATTGGTTATACTGTTACCTGTTTGGCTTGGACTTCCCACTGTCCACAGGTCAAGGCCACTTGTTCAGCAATGTCAGCTTTAAGCTGGCCTGTCAATACAAATAAACTAGAGTCACATCTGTTAATAAACTATATACCAGGAACTTTTCACCGCAGTTTGACTAATAAACTAGAGTCACACCTGTCTATAATGTGTGTACCGGAAACTTTTCACTGCAGTTTAATGACTAAACTAGAATCACACCTGTCTATATATTGTATACCGGGAACTTTTCACTGCAGTTTGACTAATAAACTAGAGTCACACCTGTCAATATAGTGTATACCGGGAACTTTTCACCGCAGTTTGACTTTGGGGAGGGCGAAATTATCATGACAATGAATATAATTGGACAACATACAAATATAGTAACTATATTTGTACATATCATGATGTGAATCATAAAATTAGCACTAGGCCAACTTGGCTTTAATAAGCAATGGAACAATATTTGTCTGGCCGAAAGTTTCCTGGTACACAGTAGGCTGTCAAACACGGAGAGAGAATAGAGTCAAAATGTAGGTCCAGTAGGCTGTCAAACACGGAGAGAGAATAGAGTCAAAATGTAGGTCCAGTAGGCTGTCAAACACGGAGAGAGAATAGAGTCAAAATGTAGGTCCAGTAGGCTGTCAAACACGGAGAGAGAATAGAGTCAAAATGTAGGTCCAGTAGGCTGTCAAACACGGAGAGAGAATAGAGTCAAAATGTAGGTCCAGTAGGCTGTCAAACACGGAGAGAGAATAGAGTCAAAATGTAGGTCCAGTAGGCTGTCAAACACGGAGAGAGAATAGAGTCAAAATGTAGGTCCAGTAGGCTGTCAAACACGGAGAGAGAATAGAGTCAAAATGTAGGTCCAGTAGGCTGTCAAACACGGAGAGAGAATAGAGTCAAAATGTAGGTCCAGTAGGCTGTCAAACACGGAGAGAGAATAGAGTCAAAATGTAGGTCCAGTAGGCTGTCAAACACGGAGAGAGAATAGAGTCAAAATGTAGGTCCAGTAGGCTGTCAAACACGGAGAGAGAATAGAGTCAAAATGTAGGTCCAGTAGGCTGTCAAACACGGAGAGAGAATAGAGTCAAAATGTAGGTCCAGTAGGCTGTCAAACACGGAGAGAGAATAGAGTCAAAATGTAGGTCCAGTAGGCTGTCAAACACGGAGAGAGAATAGAGTCAAAATGTAGGTCCAGTAGGCTGTCAAACACGGAGAGAGAATAGAGTCAAAATGTAGGTCCAGTAGGCTGTCAAACACGGAGAGAGAATAGAGTCAAAATGTAGGTCCAGTAGGCTGTCAAACACGGAGAGAGAATAGAGTCAAAATGTAGGTCCAGTAGGCTGTCAAACACGGAGAGAGAATAGAGTCAAAATGTAGGTCCAGTAGGCTGTCAAACACGGAGAGAGAATAGAGTCAAAATGTAGGTCCAGTAGGCTGTCAAACACGGAGAGAGAATAGAGTCAAAATGTAGGTCCAGTAGGCTGTCAAACACGGAGAGAGAATAGAGTCAAAATGTAGGTCCAGTAGGCTGTCAAACACGGAGAGAGAATAGAGTCAAAATGTAGGTCCAGTAGGCTGTCAAACACGGAGAGAGAATAGAGTCAAAATGTAGGTCCAGTAGGCTGTCAAACACGGAGAGAGAATAGAGTCAAAATGTAGGTCCAGTAGGCTGTCAAACACGGAGAGAGAATAGAGTCAAAATGTAGGTCCAGTAGGCTGTCAAACACGGAGAGAGAATAGAGTCAAAATGTAGGTCCAGTAGGCTGTCAAACACGGAGAGAGAATAGAGTCAAAATGTAGGTCCAGTAGGCTGTCAAACACGGAGAGAGAATAGAGTCAAAATGTAGGTCCAGTAGGCTGTCAAACACGGAGAGAGAATAGAGTCAAAATGTAGGTCCAGTAGGCTGTCAAACACGGAGAGAGAATAGAGTCAAAATGTAGGTCCAGTAGGCTGTCAAACACGGAGAGAGAATAGAGTCAAAATGTAGGTCCAGTAGGCTGTCAAACACGGAGAGAGAATAGAGTCAAAATGTAGGTCCAGTAGGCTGTCAAACACGGAGAGAGAATAGAGTCAAAATGTAGGTCCAGTAGGCTGTCAAACACGGAGAGAGAATAGAGTCAAAATGTAGGTCCAGTAGGCTGTCAAACACGGAGAGAGAATAGAGTCAAAATGTAGGTCCAGTAGGCTGTCAAACACGGAGAGAGAATAGAGTCAAAATGTAGGTCCAGTAGGCTGTCAAACACGGAGAGAGAATAGAGTCAAAATGTAGGTCCAGTAGGCTGTCAAACACGGAGAGAGAATAGAGTCAAAATGTAGGTCCAGTAGGCTGTCAAACACGGAGAGAGAATAGAGTCAAAATGTAGGTCCAGTAGGCTGTCAAACACGGAGAGAGAATAGAGTCAAAATGTAGGTCCAGTAGGCTGTCAAACACGGAGAGAGAATAGAGTCAAAATGTAGGTCCAGTAGGCTGTCAAACACGGAGAGAGAATAGAGTCAAAATGTAGGTCCAGTAGGCTGTCAAACACGGAGAGAGAATAGAGTCAAAATGTAGGTCCAGTAGGCTGTCAAACACGGAGAGAGAATAGAGTCAAAATGTAGGTCCAGTAGGCTGTCAAACACGGAGAGAGAATAGAGTCAAAATGTAGGTCCAGTAGGCTGTCAAACACGGAGAGAGAATAGAGTCAAAATGTAGGTCCAGTAGGCTGTCAAACACGGAGAGAGAATAGAGTCAAAATGTAGGTCCAGTAGGCTGTCAAACACGGAGAGAGAATAGAGTCAAAATGTAGGTCCAGTAGGCTGTCAAACACGGAGAGAGAATAGAGTCAAAATGTAGGTCCAGTAGGCTGTCAAACACGGAGAGAGAATAGAGTCAAAATGTAGGTCCAGTAGGCTGTCAAACACGGAGAGAGAATAGAGTCAAAATGTAGGTCCAGTAGGCTGTCAAACACGGAGAGAGAATAGAGTCAAAATGTAGGTCCAGTAGGCTGTCAAACACGGAGAGAGAATAGAGTCAAAATGTAGGTCCAGTAGGCTGTCAAACACGGAGAGAGAATAGAGTCAAAATGTAGGTCCAGTAGGCTGTCAAACACGGAGAGAGAATAGAGTCAAAATGTAGGTCCAGTAGGCTGTCAAACACGGAGAGAGAATAGAGTCAAAATGTAGGTCCAGTAGGCTGTCAAACACGGAGAGAGAATAGAGTCAAAATGTAGGTCCAGTAGGCTGTCAAACACGGAGAGAGAATAGAGTCAAAATGTAGGTCCAGTAGGCTGTCAAACACGGAGAGAGAATAGAGTCAAAATGTAGGTCCAGTAGGCTGTCAAACACGGAGAGAGAATAGAGTCAAAATGTAGGTCCAGTAGGCTGTCAAACACGGAGAGAGAATAGAGTCAAAATGTAGGTCCAGTAGGCTGTCAAACACGGAGAGAGAATAGAGTCAAAATGTAGGTCCAGTAGGCTGTCAAACACGGAGAGAGAATAGAGTCAAAATGTAGGTCCAGTAGGCTGTCAAACACGGAGAGAGAATAGAGTCAAAATGTAGGTCCAGTAGGCTGTCAAACACGGAGAGAGAATAGAGTCAAAATGTAGGTCCAGTAGGCTGTCAAACACGGAGAGAGAATAGAGTCAAAATGTAGGTCCAGTAGGCTGTCAAACACGGAGAGAGAATAGAGTCAAAATGTAGGTCCAGTAGGCTGTCAAACACGGAGAGAGAATAGAGTCAAAATGTAGGTCCAGTAGGCTGTCAAACACGGAGAGAGAATAGAGTCAAAATGTAGGTCCAGTAGGCTGTCAAACACGGAGAGAGAATAGAGTCAAAATGTAGGTCCAGTAGGCTGTCAAACACGGAGAGAGAATAGAGTCAAAATGTAGGTCCAGTAGGCTGTCAAACACGGAGAGAGAATAGAGTCAAAATGTAGGTCCAGTAGGCTGTCAAACACGGAGAGAGAATAGAGTCAAAATGTAGGTCCAGTAGGCTGTCAAACACGGAGAGAGAATAGAGTCAAAATGTAGGTCCAGTAGGCTGTCAAACACGGAGAGAGAATAGAGTCAAAATGTAGGTCCAGTAGGCTGTCAAACACGGAGAGAGAATAGAGTCAAAATGTAGGTCCTCATAGATAGGTTCACATCATACAGAAAAAATAGTATTGGATGTTTTTAAAATGGTTAAAAATAGGGTCTGCATCATACATGAAACTGTTCTCAAGCTGAAACTCACTTTGAATGGCCACTTGCTGGGAGTTAAGTGCATATTTATAGCTGCTCTGTCATTATCTTATGTTCTGAGGTGGCTCAGAATCCATAGAAGAATTATTTTGCATTTCTCTGAGATACAATTTTGCAGATAGAGAGGTTTTGTATAAACGTGTTTTTGGGATCTCGTAACTGCAGATTTTTTTCAGAACTGATAAAGTGTCTGAACAGATGATTGCCTTGCAATGCTGTGTTCATCAATATAGTCATGATCAAGGGCCAAAGCAATGGTATATGCCATGCACACATTTAAATGTATACCGTACTTTGGGAAAATTTGGATGTGGTTACGTTCTGGATTATTTTGTGCCTGGAGTGGATGAGCCAACATAAAACACCAACGTTTCACGATGCGTAAAGACATTGTCACAACATCCCGATACTGGCGGGCTGTCCTCCAACTCATTTGTGATGTAACAGTTACTAACTTCCATAGACTTTGTCTGTCATGTGAGCGAAAGTTGGAATGACTTGGTTTTTGAGCAGGATTTACACATAAATATTGATATTTAATTATCAACAAAATGTATGTATTGCATAACATACAGAGAATGAAGCATCATAAATACACTGTTCTTAAAATTCAGTACAAGCACCTTTTTTAAAGGTAACATATATAGTATCACCGTTTTCACCGATAACTTAAATGTTACACAAACACAGTTGTAGTGCATGGGGTCAAATGTCATCTGATAGTCTGTCCCTAGGTGCGGGAAAAATTGACACACACAGATTTCGGGTGTACCCTATACTCACCCTGGTTATTCTCTATGACCTCCATGGCACTGCGGGGAGAGGGGTTATCACAGGTTAGCAGTTTAGAGGTCACCTTGTACAGGTGACGGTATCCAGTCTGTTCCGTTGACCAGAGGAAGGAAATTTCTTCCGGAATTTCTTGTGGGAAGAAGTGGAGGATGTCGTGAACCTGTGTTTAATTAAGATTTACATCAAAACTATAATAATAATAATAAACTTTATTTAACGAGGAAGACATGTTCAGCCAAAGGCTAATCTACCACATGGTCCTCAAAACTAAACCTTTTGTTTAACTTCAGGATAGTTGTGATATTCCAGGCCTCAATTGTTTGCTTGATGCACAACTAGAGTATGTGATAAAATGTCAAATTAAACAAAGTTAAACTCTGTATTTTGTACTTTGTCAAATACCACAATACACTACAGTATATACCAAAACATTCATCAGTACATGGTCAATTACCAGAGAATATACCAAAACATTGTACATAGTCATATACAATAGTACATACCAAAGAGTTCCTCTGAACATCGTGAAATACCACAGTAAATACCTCAATACATGTCAAATACCACAGTACATACCTCAATACATGTCAATTACTACAGTACATACCTCATACATGTACATGTCAAATACCACAGTACATACCAAAACACTCCTCAGAACATTGTCAAATACCACAGTACATACCTCAATACATTGTCAAATATCATAGTACATACCAAAACTCTCCTCAGTACATGTCAAATACCACAGTACATACCTCAATACATTGTAAAATACCACAGTACATACCTCAATACATTGTCAAACATCATAGTACATACCAAAACACTCCTCAGTACATGTCAAATACCACAGTCCATACCTCAATACATTGTCAAATATCATAGTACATACCAAAACCCTCCTCAGTACATGTCAAATACCGCAGTACATACCTCAATACATTGTCAAATACCACAGTACATACCTCAATACATGGTCAAATACCACAGTACATACCAAAACACTCTCAGTACATGGTCAAATACCACAGTACATACCAAAACACTCCTCAGTACATGTCAAATACCACAGTACATACCTCAATACATTGTCAAATATCATAGTACATACCAAAACACTCCTCAGTACATGTCAAATACCACAGTACATACCTCAATACATTGTCAAATACCACAGTACATACATCAATACATTGTCAAATACCACATTACATACCTCAATACATTGTCAAATACCACAGTACATACCTCAATACCTTGTCAAATACCACAGTACTTACCTCAATACCTTGTCAAATACCACAGTTCATACCTCAATACATGGACAAATACCACAGTACATGCCTCAATTCATTGGCAAATACCACAGTACATGCCTCAATTCATTGGCAAATACCACAGTACATCCCAAAACCCTCCTCAGTACATGTCACATACCACAGTACATACCAAAACCCTCCTCAGTACATGTCACATACCACAGTACATACCACAATACATGGTCAAATAGCACAGTACATTCCTCAGTACATGGTCTAATACCACAGTACATACCAAAACACTCCTCAGTACATGTCAAATACCACAGTACATACCAAAACATTCCTCAGTACATTGTCAAATACCACAGTACATACCTCAATACATTGTCAAATAGCACAGTACATACCTCAATACATTGTCAAATACCACAGTACATTCCTCAGTACATGGTCAAATACCACAGTACATACCTCAATACATTGTCAAATCCCACAGTACATACCTCAATACATTGCCAAATACCACAGTACATACCAAAACTCTCCTCAGTACATGTCAAATACCACAGAACATACCTCAATACATTGTCAAATACCCCAGTACATACCTCAATACATTGTCAACTACCACAGTACATACCTCAATACATAGTCAAATACCACAGTACATACCAAACAATACCTCAGTACATTGTCAAATACCACAGCACATAACTCAATACATTGTCAAATAGCACAGTACATTCCTCAGTACATGGTCAAACACCACAGTACATACCTCAATACATTGCCAAATACCACAGCACATACCTCAATACATTGTCAAATATCACAGTACATACCTCAATACATTGTAAAATACCACAGTACATACCTCAATACATTGTCAAATACCACAGTACATACCAAAACACTCTCAGTACATGTCAAATACCACAGTACATACCTCAATACATGGTCAAATATCATAGTACATACCTCAATACATTGTCAACTACCACAGTACATACCTCAATACATGGTCAAATATCATAGTACATACCTCAATACATTGTCAACTACCACAGTACATACCTCAATACATGGTCAAATACCACAGTACATACCTCAATACATGGTCAAATACCACAGTACATACCAAAACACTCCTCAGTACATGGTCTAATACCACAATGTTGCTATGCTATGGTACATGGTAAACTATCAGTTTTTTCTATTGTTTATACCATAATGCACTGTGGTACATGGTAAACTACCTCAATATATCACTTAGATACCATCAGTTGAGTACCAACCTATACTACTGTAGTAAAATTCCATTGTGAAATGTGTAATAAAATCGATGGAAGCTGGAATTGGTGTGTGTACCAGTTTTAAAGTGGATTAACACATCATTGTAGAAAACAAAATGCCTCAATATACAAGAGGTACAACTTTATCTCTGAACGTTTAAGGTTCTCTTTAAGACTATAATATCATGGTATGCTGTGGAATTATATACCGTTCACAAAATTCTGCAAAAAATTGAACTCCATGAAAAGCCTACGTACATTGATCCAGACATCGGAGGTGTCCTCGTATATAACTTGTAAGGGGGGATAATTGTTGGTGCACTCGTAATAATAGTTTAGCTCCATGTCGGGGTCAGAGGTCACCGGGATGAAACACTCCAATGGTATTAACACCAGCGCTAGGCGGGTCTGCTGTCTGTTCATGATCTGTACATAAACACTGGAACAAAGGTCAAATTTTAAAGGTCATCATTTACTGTAAACAAGAGAATTAACATTCAAGGTTCAAAGGTGAGCATTTACTATAAACACTGCAATCAACAACTTCTTTTAGGGCCTGTTTAGCTTACCTAGATAATTAAGCAACCAGGGAAAAATATTCTCATTAAATATAATACTGGAACTACAACGTATTTCAAAAAAAATTTGGCTTTGTCTCTCAGCATCACCCATCCCTCAATGGATTCATTATTTATGCTCCCCTGAATTAGGGTGAATTTTAAACATTTCCCCTATTGGATCTCACCCCTCTGCCCCAAGGGGGTGGGGGGCACACCCTGTGGTAGTACAAAATTGAGTTCCCTTTGGTTTAAGGCGCTCTAAAGGAAAAGTTGACAGACGGACGCTGTGCCTCAGCATAAGCTCTCAAGTCTGTTGGACCAGGTGAGCTAAAAACGGGAAAAGTTGTTAAACAAAGTCCTGTAAAGCAAGTTTTTCACATGGATAACAAAATTGTTCTGTTTCTGGGACTACACATACTATTTGGAGTCTGGTGTCCATCCCGCACGGATCAGATACTCCATCCAGGGGAAGAACGTGGACAGGGGTTCATAAAGCTCCTTCTCCATCATACTGTCCTGTATCTGTCAAAACAAGACAACACACATCCTTGATATTCCAGGGGGTACCTTCACCCTTCACTTTAACTCTCTGCACCCCTGGAGTATGTCATATAAACCTGATGGCACGCGGCTAGCCATTGGATTGGTCTGTGATAAAAAAACTGACCAATCGCTAGGTTGACACTTTGACCTTTGAAGATAACAGAGGAGCAACAACCAACTTTACAGCCAGTGATGTACATTAACCCTTTCAACACTGTAGACCATAATGGACTCATCCATATCAATACATGGTAGAATCTACTAAAGTTACATAGGGATGAAAGGGTTAAAGGATCACACTAGTCTTCTTGTCCCATCCACAAGGTGGCACACGCCGAGCCTTTGATTTTGTCATGATATATTCCAGTGGTGCAGAAAGCATGTTAAGTGAATGTAATTATTGAGTATCGAGGATGGAGAACATGTGGCCTGTACACAATTCCTATACAGAATGTGTAGAATGTTTTATTATGCGTTAAGTTTTGGAGAAAGGAATTGGTCTTCTGTGACCCAGTATCGTGATCATATGAATGATTAGATATTATTGACTAATGTGGGATCTTAACAAAACTCTGGGTTTTCCTCTTTGTGTTCTGCTCGGGTAAGTTGAAGAAACCACAATTGAATCTTCAGCCTGCACTACAACATTACAGACCTCTGTCATTTCTCTTTTCTTTCCTCTTTCCCTTTTACTGATGTCTCTCTTTATAGGATGAAGACATGAAACCCTCAACAAATTAATGTCCTGGTCAGCGGAAGTGTCCTGGCCTAACTATGCTTTTTATATCCAGAACAAAATTAAGATGACATTAAGGGGAAATTACTGTATATACAAAGAACACCGGGCAACGGGACATGGGTCCTTAACTTAAGTAGTAAGACTTCTGATACCAACCTGACCATCACTTCCTACTTCAAACTCCACAAGTTTCAGAGATGTTTGTGCATTGTCTGTTCCTGAAGAAAATTAAGTAAGAAACATTCTGAGAAGTTTACATGCACCAATAGGATTAATCAAGTGATGTAATTGATTCTATATTGTACGTGTTTATGGAAGTGTGTTATAACAGTAACCAACTGATGAACTGTATATGGGGAAATGTTCACAGCAGTTTAACTTTTGCCTTTCTTGCCCTCCACAATTGGGGGGGGGGGGGGGGGGGGATATTAACCATAGCGAATAGAATTATCCAGCATACTATACATAGTAATAACACATGAAGGGCCAAATTAACACTGGGTTGAACATGGATTTCATTTCTGAAGGGTGAATACTTTTTCCTGTACACATTACAACAAACAAATATTTTGCTCTAACCATGTTTAGTCATAAAGAGTCTAAATAAACCTTTTTAGACCCTAATTTCTCCTATTGGGCGACACCTCTGGGTTGAGCAGACTCTTGGGCAAATTCAGGTGGCATGACTTTATTCCACTTATTCAATATTATCCACTTTGTTAATTAACTAGCACTAATGAAGAGGATGTTAACTCTTACCAGTTCGGGGGTATAACTCTTACCAGCTCGGGGGTATAACTCTTACCAGCTCGGGGGAATAACTCTTACCAGCTCGGGGGTATAACTCTTACCAGCTCGGGGGTATAACTCTTACCAGCTCGGGGGTATAACTCTTACCAGCTCGGGGGTATAACTCTTACCAGCTCGGGGGTATAANCAGCTCGGGGTACAGCTCGGGGGTATAACTCTTACCAGCTCGGGGGTATAACTCTTACCAGCTCGGGGGTATAACTCTTACCAGCTCGGGGGTATAACTCTTACCAGCTCGGGGGTATAACTCTTACCAGCTCGGGGGTATAACTCTTACCAGCTCGGGGGTATAACTCTTACCAGCTCGGGGGTATAACTCTTACCAGCTCGGGGGTATAACTCTTACCAGCTCGGGGGTATAACGCTTACCAGGTCGGGGGTATAACTCTTACCAGCTCGGGGGTATAACTCTTACCAGCTCGGGGGTATAACTCTTACCAGCTCGGGGGTATAACTCTTACCAGCTCGGGGGTATCGATACTCATCAATCCCTTGTGTGTCCGTCATTGGAGCAAAAATATTCAATATTTCCACACCGCTCTCGTCAATTTCCTCGTACAGGATGCGGTAACATGACGTCTGATCAAAGTCATCAGAGTGTTTTGGCTTCGGCTCCCACCAGTATCCGGTATATCTGTCAAATTCCTCTTGAACCACAAAACAGGGTACACCTGCACTCATCGGGTCATCTGTCAGTCGACTCAGCCCTAAACATACATTATGCTTAAATATAGTACTAGACATACCATAATACTCTCAGAAACCCCAAACATACCCCATTACTCTCAGAAAACAAAAACATACCATAATACTCTCAAAAAAATCCAAAAATTACTGAAACAATCTCAAAGACACTAAACATACATAATGCAATACACTTACAAAACACTAAACATACCATTATACACTCAGAAAACCCCAAAAATACCATAATACTCTCAGAAACCCCAAACATACCACAATACTCTCAGAACCCCCAAACATACCACAATACACTCAGAAAACCCAAAACATATCATAATACTGTCAGAAAACCCAAACATACCATAATACTGTCAGAAAACCCAAAACAACTGCAACAATCTCAGAAAACTCTAAAAGGAAAGTCCTAGACAGTTAAAACATTGAAAAAGCCAAAACATTCAACTCATGACTCAAGTACCAATTTTACAATTGTTCCTGATTTTGAGAAGCAGTTCCTATAACAAAAAGTGTAAAATTTGTCTCCTTTTTCAATTTTTAAGAAATCAGAGTTTTTACAAATGAACTGTTGAAACGACATGAACCTGAATACATTGTTAATTAGTTTTAATGTTCACCTCAAATTGCATTATATGAATTTCACTGGACAAATTGTCTGTGTTAAGTAAGAATGCAAAGCTTGTTGTCAAAAGAATTTTTATTGTGTAGTCCTTTATCTAAGTAAGTTGTCTAATGGGTCATGAATATTGAATTACCAAGGAGAATTTCATTCTAATTTTAACACTTAGGAAGATGCCTTAGCAGTATAGTAAATTATATTAGCACCGTCTCATAATGCCAAAAAGGACCTGGAGAACCAGTGAGTATTTTACAAGACAATTTAACCCATTCACCCCGAAGTAACTTTAGTAGACTCTACCATGCATTGATACGGATGAGTCCATTATGGTCCACAGTGGTGAAAGGGTTAAATCTGTGTTAATATATCTTTTAAAACAAACCCTTTTATCTTGACAGAAGTGTTATATACCTTTATGTGCAAATGTAAGTCTGCATTCCTGCCCCGTCTGGAGATTGGTGACCCAAAGGTCGTTGCTATGGATAAACGAGATGAGGTTGGAGTTGCGAGGACAAATCTTTGGATCAAGTCTGGCCCGAGAACAACTGGTGTTGATGGCTAGAGGAAGAACCGGCTCATCTGACTGAAAACGGAGAAAACTTGTACAGAATATGTTAATTGGTTTGGTTTTGCTTGTATTTTACTTCCTTTTAACAGCCATGGTCATTTACGGACAAGCTTGGTTAGGGTGTTGGAGGAAAACCAGATTCCATAGCGAAAAACAGTGTACAAAGTTTTATCAAAATGCATTTTAAAATGATTGGTTTGGTTTGGTTTTAATTTGTTAAACATCCTTTCAACAGCCAATGTCATTTAAGGACAAGCCTTTGTGTGTGTTGCATGTGTGGCTGGAGGCAGGGCATGCCAATGTATTTGCCAACTTGTGATAGCGCAGATCTGATGCCGACTTTATAGTAACTATCTCATGTGATCAATGAAGTACCATGCCGAAGGCACAAGGGGAAAACCAGTTGTTGCGATAACCATAAATACTGTTAAGCACGGAATATCAACTATCATTTTTAAGGACTTTGTTATTTCTCCACCTGCTTTAAATTTCTGGAACATATGATCAATTAAGATTTCTGAACATGTGTTCATATTTAATGAATGGAACTTGACATGATATTTGCAAATACTGTACAATAATGGTAATCAGTACTCAAGGGTATTGGAATAAAAATCTGACAGAAAATCCCAAACATTTTTTTTTTTCCCCCAACACTGTACCAAGACAAATAAATCCCTTTCTACTGAACACAACTTACCGTAACATCACGATCCATGCACACAAAAAGAGAGTTGCATGCTGGGAATACAAGTTTTCCTTGATCTTCCACCATGTCGTAGGAGGTGATTCCGAAAATCCCAAGGCGTTTTCTCTCCCTCATCAACTGTTCCTCGCGAGACAACTGTGCACTTGGAAGTGACGGTTGAAACGAGTCTAATAAAGATCTACAGTTCAGCACGGGAATTACCTCCCTTACTTCATTTGGCAAATCAGCATACATAAGTGTATTTTCTCTACATTTCTGTGGCGTACCCAGGAAATAAAGTCTCGTTTTTTTGCCTGTTGGCGTATCTACCACACGAAATGAAAAAGAGGTTGGTATATGGCTCACTAAAGCTACTAAAAGTTTCCGTTTTTCTTGAACGTTTTGGCGTAGTAAATCCCATGTCTTTGGCTGATCGGTAGAATGTTCTTTGGGAGATCCGCCAGACTGAGCCAGATCCAGAGGACCGACTGATAGTTCTGCAGCCATAACTTTGGATCAGCGTTGTTCAATCACCTGTCTATGGAATTCATCATCTATCATGTCATCATTCCATTAGTCTGTCGATGAGCTGAAGAGAAAATAGAGAAAGTGCAGGAAAAACAGTCCTTATTGGTATGTCCAAAGTCAAGAAAATCTCAATGTCAAAATTGCTTACCAGTAATATTCTGTCTAAATGTGTCCAAAAGCATGTTTCAGATTTCATCACATCAAAAACTTTATTATTGCCAGGTTTAATTTTATCATTATAAATGTTGTAAACTTCTAAAAGTCTATAAATTAACGGACAGTCTAACAGCATAGAAATGTGTTTATAATAATTGCATAATCCTTTGAGATCTATTTTTATAATTGATGTAATTTTCAAGAAAACATATTTTTATTTGATATCAAATTTTACTTTCTACGCAAACAATGTACATATGTATCGTAAAAAAATGGAAGGCTCAGTGACACCACCTTGTTGATGAGGCAAGACAACTTTAATGTACATCAAGAGAGTATCACGGCGGGGTAACGGGTAACCTTTATAATTTTCAAATGACAGACATCAGCCTAGCAATACGTCAAGATTTTTTTTTACCCGATACCAATCAAACAGCTGTCTTTGTGCCTTCAATTTTCCTATGGCATATTCCAGGGGTGCAGAGAGCTAAAGCGAGCGTAACCCCTGTAGTATCGAGGATGAATACATATAGGGATTGAACGGCGTTTTTAATTTTCCGGTCGGTATAAACGTAAATCAGTTACATCCATATTGTATGAAGCCCGCTGTTCAATCCATATATTTACATTTTTTCTATAGAACAATTGTTTAATTTGATTTATTTGTTCTTAAATTATTTATTTATTTACTGCATTACATTGACAGAACAACCCTATTTAAATAAAATTGGTGCCAATAAATAACCGTAGTCATTTGAGCGTTTGACGCGGGTCATTCTCCATGTTATTTGAAGCGAAACGACAAGACTTTCATTGAACAAGGTTAATATATGACGTCATAAGTAAACCACGTGAGACTCAACTAATAACAACACTCCAGGACCTTGCCAGTGGTATGGACAACAAGTTCCAGGCCGACACGTCATATGACTGGACTTCTCCGTCGCCTTTGACAAGGTGCCACACAAAGGCTTCTGTAAAATTGAAGTTCTACAGAATTACTGGAATTGCTGGCCTGGGTCCAGGACTTCCTACATGAATGTACAAAAGTAAAGCCCGACTCGGCCCCAGTTCAATCCAGTGTGCCACATGGTAGTGTTGTCGGACCTCTCCTGTTCATAAACGACCTACTAGATGTCATCTCATCCAAGTCGAAGGTTGGCCTCTTCGCTGATGACTGTATCCTATATCGGTATGTTTCATCAACAGAGGACTCACTTCAACTACAGAAAGACCTGGACAGTCTTGTTAGGTGGAAACAGGATTGGATGATGGAATTCCACCCCCAAAAGTGTCAAGTTCTACACATCACTAGTTAGAGAAACATAATTAATGAGTCATAAAACATCCATGGCCATACACTGGAAGTGGCTGATACGGCAAAGTACATTGGCGTCCATCTGCACAAGACTCTGAGCTGGAACCAGCACATAAATCAGATTGTAAAGAAAGCAAACTCTACCCAGGCTTTCCTACAGCCGACAACATCAACCAGTGTCCAAGGTAAACTAGGGAGACTTCAGTGAGACCCACCAAGGAGTTTACAGTATTGAACTCCCATACAGCCGACAATATCAACCAGTGTCCAAAACAAACTAGGGAGATTTCAGTGAGACCCACCAAGGAGTTTACAGTATTGAACTCTCATACAGCCGACAACATCAACCAATGTCCAAGGTAAACTAGGGAGACTTCAGTGAGACCCACCATGGAGTTTACAGTATTGAACTCTCATACAGCCGACAACATCAACCGATGTCCAAGGTAAACTAGGGAGACTTCAGAGAGACCCACCAAGGAGTTTACAGTATTGAACTCTGATACAGCCGACAACATCAACCAATGTCCAAGGTAAACTAGGGAGACTTCAGAGAGACCCACCATGGAGTTTACAGTATTCAACTCTCATACAGCCGACAACATCAACCAGTGTCCAAGGTAAACTAGGGAGACTTCAGTGAGACACACCAAGGAGTTTACAGTTTTGAACTCTCATCCAGCCGATAACATCAACCAGTGTCCAAAGCAAACTAGGTAGACTTCAGTGAGACCCACCAAGGAGCTTACAGTATTGAACTCTCATACAGCCGTCAACATCAACCAGTGTCCAAGGTAAACTAGGGAGACTTCAGTGAGACACACCAAGGAGTTTACAGTTTTGAACTCTCGTACAGCCGATAACATCAACCAGTGTCCAATGTAAACTAGGGAGACTTCAGTGAGACCCTCCAAGAAGTTTACAGTATTGAACTCTCATACAGCAGACAACATCAACCAGTGTCCAAAACACACTAGGGAGACTTCAGTGAGACCCACCATGGAATTTACAGTATTGAACTCTCATACAGCCGTCAACATCAACCAGTGTCCAAGGTAAACTAGGGAGACTTCAGTGAGCCCCACCATGGAGTTTACAGTATTGACCTCTCATACAGCCGATAACATCAAGCAGCTGGAAATTGTGCAGAGGCGCTCAGCAAGATTCATCTTTGGCGTCTACCATACCACCAGCAGGGCCTCATCCCCGATATCCCAACTAAACTGGCCGACCCTGCAGGAATGTCGTGCACAGGCTAAAGTAGTGATGATCGATTTATTGTATTGTCCATGGCCTAGGGGAAATGCCAACTACCTACCTGATTCCATCTGCCGTCCATCAATCTGCGCGGCTACCGGAGACTTCAGTGAGACCCACCAAGGAGTTGACAGTATTGAACTCTCATACAGCCGACACCATCAACCAATGTCCAAGGTAAACTAGGGAGACTTCAGAGAGACCCACCATGGAGTTTACAGTATTCAACTCTCATACAGCCGACAACATCATCCAGTGTCCAAAACAAACTAGGGAGGCTTCAGTGAGACCCACCAAGGAGTTTACAGTATGGAACTCTCATACAGCCGACAACATCAACCAGTGTCCAAAACACACTAGGGAGACTTCAGTGAGACCCACCACCATGGAGTTTACAGTATTGAACTTTCATACAGCCGACAACATCAACCAGTGTCCAAAACAAACTAGGGAGATTTCAGTGAGACCCACCAAGGAGTTTACAGTTTTGAACTCTCATACAGCCTATAACATCAACCAGTGTCCAAAGCAAACTAGGGAGACTTCAGTGAGACCCACCATGGAGTTTACAGTATTGAACTCTCATACAGCCGATAACATCAAGCAGCTGGAAATTGTGCAGAGGCGCTCAGCAAGATTCATCTTTGGCGTCTACCATACCACCAGCAGGGCCTCATCCCCGATATCCCAACTAAACTGGCCGACCCTGCAGGAATGACGTGCACAGGCTAAAGTAGTGATGATCGATGTATTGTATTGTCCATGGCCTAGGGGAAATGCCAACTACCTACCTGATTCCATCTGCCGTCCATCAATCTGCGCGGCTACCACCTCAAATTCCTGGTGCCCTTCTCACGTACAAAGACCTTAAGCTTCCAGACAACCTACGAATCATAGACGCCTCGGCACCTGGTGAAGTCGGTACTTGGACACCTCAGCACTTATATTTTCGGCACTTGGTTACCTCGGCACTTATATTTTCGGCTCTTGGTTACTTCGGCACTTTTTTGCAATATCTGTATAGTCTTATATCATTATATATCTTTAATTCTGGAGTTATTCTAATTTGTTGTAGATATGTAATGTTATTTGGGCCATTGTTTTTCTTGAAAATTATAACGTGACACTACCCTAACTGAAACACTTTTTTGAAAAAAAAAATCTTTCTGTATGGTTACAATTTAATGGTATCAAATAATAAAAATACTGCCTCATACATTGGGAAAAAAATCCATTTTGGGTAGCATCACGTTATGATGCATGAAAAGCCATTTGTGGACGTTTGTTCACAGCAATAATAACACCACACTATAAGAAGTTGTTCTTAATGATCACAACCACCTGTGCATGATGACAAGATATGTACATGAATGTGAAAACAAACACTTACAGTAATTAACGCTCTACATACACTTTGTCAGGGGTGTAACAAACAGGTTTTCAATGTGTAAGCCCAATGATGAAGTGTGCTGCCGAAGGCAGCACCCCGAAGCGTGTAGTGCGAGGAGGGGGAGGGTATGGGAGGGGGTTTTCCCCCTCCCATTGGCGGGGGTCTGGGGGGTCTCCCCCAGGAGAATTTTGTTTTCTAGAACACATGAGACGCGTTCTCCCTTGTTCTAGTGTCAGTTTTAATGGCCATTTTAAAGCAAGAAAATATCGTTTTCCCCTATTATTTTACAAATATTTTGCTTCTTTTTGGGTACGTAGGGATTGGTACTCATCTACGCCAATTCTATTATGGAGTTCGGTAACATTATTCCACGGAAAAGAAAAATCTAAAATCATGTGGATTTTGGGATAGTTGTTGTAAGAGTATGACGTTTCTCCTCGCGACTGTGACTCCGGTTGCGCAGGGATATGAGACTAGTATCACAAGCTAGCTATAGCACTAGGAATAGTTTAACATTATGTACATAAGAACCGATATACTGGTCAATGTGTAAAATATAAAGCCATGGTTTATGACCATTCCATATGTATTTTGTATTAATAAAGGGGATAAAAATCATAGGAACAGTTTATTTCACAGGGGGCGGGGGCTAGCGAGTACTATGTGTATACCAATAATTTGCATAGCTAGAGTTGCACTGACACGGTTACCATGTCAAATGATTGAAGCCAGGCTACCAACCATATTGTTCCCTTTATATGTATAAAAGCGGTAAAAAAAACTTAGAAACACTTTATTTCACGGGGAAAACTAGAGTTAGTGTTTGGGTACACCGATAATTAGCAAGACTAGAGTTTCAATATGCTACCCTCAATTCTACATTTGTTAGAGACTTTGATTGTAACGAAGCATTTTAGTAAGTTGGCGGTCTTTATAGCAGATACAAAACATCTGTCATTGCTTTTTAATATATTATATCATATAGTCTATGTTGCGTTTATATTTTTTTTATTTTGTCAAAAATGATGTGTAAGCCCGGGCTTTTTTGCTACATAGGTTGTTACGCGCCTGTTTGTTACAACTAGACGCCCGTGTTTTATTTCTTTAACCACAACTAAAACCGTGCAATAAATTGAAATAAACAAGAATGACAATAGAAGTACATTCTTTACACGTACATGTTTTGAACCTGTAAACATAACATAATGAAACAAGAAGCCCAGGGGCCTTACTAGCTCACCTGGTATTTTATTTTTCAATTTAAAACCTGCTGAGTACCATACAGGTTTATCAAAGGAGTACAAGAAACAAAGTTGCAAGAAGAACTACACATACATCTGTTTTGGTGGGAAAGACACCAAGAAAATGAGTTTCCGTGTTATGTCCCAATTTTCCTTTATTTCCCCTATTGGGCCTCACATGCACCTTTTTATACAAATTAAACAAATTTAGGTTTTTTCCCCTAAGCATGATTCAGACCCTTCATTTGTACAGAAGGGAAAATGTTTTTTTTTCTATTTCCACTATTGGGCCCTGCTCCTCTGCCTGGGGGGGGGGGGGACATCTTCCATTTATAAATATTCAATTCCCTTTGCCCAAAGATTCTCTAGAAAAAAGTTTGGTTAAAATCCCTTCAACAGCACAGAAGGATAAGGATCTTAAATGTTTTCCTCTATTTCCCCTAATGAGAGCCCCACTCATCTGCCCCAAAGAAGGGGTCCACACACCTCAGTTTATACAAAAATGATTCTTTTGTCCCTAAGCATGCTTCAGACTGCATTTGGTTTAAATCCCTTCACTTTTATAGTAGGAGAAAAAAATCCTCTATTTCCCCTATTGGGCCCCACCCATATGCCCCCAGAGGGGCCACACCCTCTGTTTATACAAACTTGAGGCTCCTTTGTCCAAAGATGTTCTAGAACAAATTTGGTCAAAATCCTTCTATTGGTTGAGGAGAAGAAGATTTTTAAGATTAACCTATTTTCCCCCTATTTGGCCCCGCCCCTCTGCCCCCAGGGGGACCATACCCTCGGTTTATACAAAACTGAGAACACTTTGGCCAATGATGTTCCAGACTAAATTTGGTCAAAATCCTCTGAGCCTTTCAGGACAAGTAGTGTTTAAAAGGAAACAGTTGACGGACGCTGCGGCATGGGATAAGCTCACTTATCCCATGCCGCAGCTAAAAAATAACACACAAATTGGTGTAATTAAAATAGGAGACCATTCTTTCTGTGTACATGTACAAGAAAAAACATGTTAAATGTTGTTATTGGGAAAATATAAATGCTGTGGTGTCCCATTGAAAATTCTGAGGTGACCCGAAAAAGTGCTTTCCTGGGGGGGGTTTCCATGTGGGGAAAAATTGAGGAAAATGGTGAAAATACATGATTTTTAAAGAAAATTCTCAGGGTGGGGGGGGGGTCCTGAAGCCCAAAAAAACCTCTGGATCTGCCACTGTCCAAGTGCCGAGATGACCTGTTACCCATCCTACTACCCCGACACCATCCGATTGTGGGACACACTCCCGGTATCGCTCACAGATTGTGCCTCCCAAGGCATATTCAAGATAGAGATACTGCGAGTGGTCCTCAGATACACTGGGAATTGCTCCGTTTTAATTGCGCCGGGCATGCACCTAGTACCTAGTGCGAAAATATGTCAGAGACAGTCTGCACTCGATTTGAAGAGAAGAAGTGAAGAATAGAAACCTCAGATGCTCCATGTATATAATTTTCAATTTTTGTTTGTCTTTGTGCTTTTTTTCGTGTACATTCAAAAGGCTGTCCGTCTCCTACAACATTATCTCAGTATTGCAGGACAGACTCGTTAACATCAACATCATCTTTGACAGGAAATGGTTCTTCTTGCAGAGCACAGTGTAAAATGTGATGTTTCAACGACGTACTGTTTGCAAATGTCAGTTTGTTCCGCAATTTTTTTCTCAGATGATCGGATTGAAACTTGTATGCTTACAGACAAAACCTTTTAAAAATCATGAAGCTAATATGAAAAACCGGAAAACATTTCACATCAATATAAAGCGTCAGCATCCGTTTAGTTGCTTTTCAGCAGTTCTATTTTAAGAATCGGTGGTTTTCACAAAAAGTTCGGAAACACAAATCGACTGAATCGGGAGTATAAGTCACACAACCAATATAAGCTATGTGTGCATGGGACACCAACCGAAACAAATATAGCACATAGACCAACAAACCTATAAGGAAAGCATCAGCTGTACATCTATTGTCACAGAGAAGTTCCAGAGTCCCTACCTGAATGTGTTTTGCGAGTCTTCCTGCGCACCGGACGTCAAACATTCGTAAGACTAAGAGGATGTGTTGCACAGTATTAGACACGGGACCGGATTTTTTTTTATACGGAATTATACAAAATGGATTGGTAAGTGATGAATACGGAGATTTATCTATTTATGTAATCTTTATTTGATTATTATCATGCCATTTTTGTGGCGACGATGATTCTTTAAGGTATACGGTTAAAACGGCCGCACTGCAGTAACGGCCCTAGTTAAAAACGGCCCTAGTTAAAACGGCCCCACTTTATATATATAGTATAGTATATACTGTATAGTACTGCAAGTACTACAAGTGCGTAATACAGGTATATAACTTGATATTATGTTAATACAGTTACATGCACTTTCAAGAAATAAAGATATGTACATGTACAGATAAAAACATTATAATTGTGTTTGTGTTTTCATTGATAGTTGACCCTCCTCAGTCTCAAATACCTTTGCAATGGTGTTTTCTACTTCAGTGTTTAATTTAATTTAATTTAATTATTTAGAAAAAAGAATTAATTAAAAAACTTAATTATTGAATAGCATTTGAAAAAAATAGTTACAATATTAACTAATAATAATTTAGATGTGGGAGGAGGGTCGTTGTTGTTTTAACAGAGTACCTCGGAGTACCTCGCAGTGACTCAATTAAAACAACAATTAACGGGATTGGTCAAAGGGGGAATAATTGGACGAATGCATAGCAAAATCTTCACATATCATTTGAATTTGAATAAGACTTTCAACCATGAGACCAGCATTGACGAACTGTTTAGAGTGCGACAGTGTTATTCGACCTGCACAGCATGCAGTCAGCACTGCAGTGCGATTGCTGTAGTAGATGGCAGCATAGAACGTGTGGTACCGGTAAGTGATATGAAATACATATAAATGTCAATCACAGAAATACCCAATTAATACATTACCGTGCATGGTAAGATAGGATGATTTTATATAAAAGATAAAAAGACACAATCTTACTGTTGTATAATTGTTGTTGTTTAATTTAGTAATTGTCAAATTAATCATTACGTTATAATTGTCTATTTATTGAAATATACATCAATGTTCATATATATATATACGTCCCGTTATAATTGGCTATTTATTGGAATATACATTTTAAAAATTACATCTTATGATTCCAATCAAATTGTATATGACGATTTAAAAAGTAGGGCCGTGTTTTAAGTAGGGCCGTTTTTACACTGCGGCCGTTTTGACCTAGATTCATTTTTTAATACCTTTTTGATGAATATTGATTTATGTTAAATTGTATTGCACGTCTACCATGCAGTCTCGACCAGAGACGTATATATATATACTTATATGTCTCTGTCTCGCCTCAAGCTAGTTTAGCCTAAAAGAAATGCATGTGATCTGTGCCCCCAGTTCTAGAAAATACATGGACATACTATCATTTTAATTTCTTCTATTTTAGTATATTTCATTTTATTATGTATCTTTTACATTTATCTATTTTTTTCGCATATTACATACAAAAAGGTGTAATCCTGAATTTTTATTCTCTTTAAATTATGTTATCTTATCTCATTCACCTGCCGTGTGTCCATATTTCAGTCTTACATTGGAAACGATATGCACTATTAGTAATGTTTAAATAAATAATAGTGTGTAACTAAAATGTGTTGACTTATCTTGTACTGTAGCCATTTATTTTGTTGTGATGGTTTATTTTTCACACTTTTACAAAATATTTAAAGCATAACAAAAGCAAATATCATCATCATCATCATCATCATTTCATCGGTATATCATCATCGTCATTGCATTTTTTTTAATTCTAGTAACTATAACTGGAAACATATATATATTATTTCCCGTGTTTCGTAATGAAATTCAAACAATTACTTAATGCAATTAGTTGGCGTTTTTTTTATTACAAATTATGTGAAAAAATCTTCAGCCATTTGTTTCTGCTTCAAAAACATTTCTTAATTTATGGATATGTAAGGATTTGAAATATAATGAGACAGATGACTTTTAATGGTATCAATTTTACCTCCATTATATGAGAGCATTTATACTTTCACCTTAATCTTTAACATTGTACAAAATAGTTATTCATAGCACCATCTTTAAACCAATTCATAAAGAATCCACATAGAACTTCTATGTAAAATATACTGCTGTTCCTACAATCTAATGAAATGTCTTTTTGCTTGAATTGCTTTATTCATTATACAACAATTATGCCAAAAGTTAATTTAATTCATAATAATCACTCTCGATGGCCGGGTTGTTGCGCACGGAAGGTCTTTATATCGGAGGACTGAACCGGAGTACCCTGAGAAAACCCAATCGGTCAGTCTGGTGACCACCTACCTTTTATCGTCCGATCGGGGAATCGAACCCCGGCCGCCTCGGTGTACGGCAAGTGCGCTATCCACTACGCCACCCGAACACCTAACCTTAACTTGGTTAGAAAGATGTGCTACCAAATTCTATTAAAAATGCCGTTTTCATTTTAATATGATGTCTTTTCAGAAATGTGATCTAGTCTATTAGTGAGGAGATTGGTAGAATTTGGCGAAAGTAACCAGCTATTACAAGATACAGGAATCTTTATTTAGTGTCGAATATGGTTGACAAGAATGTAAGCTCTTAGGAGCTTGTATTTCGACAAAGTGAATAGAACGTAACAAATGCTAACAACACAAGATAAAAACATGACATACTAGAACCAAAATAACAGATAACCTAAAATCATAAAACACTGTTCTATATCAAACATGAGGCACTAAATAATAATGACTGACGGAAGATAAGAACATACACACTGTGTGTATTAGCAGTACAAACATGGCACTACAGCCATGCAGGCACTAAACCCAGAAGAAGTAGCGTGCAGACATGTTGAACACTGAACGCTGACGCGGCTATAAACATTGACATACAAGGTTACTATAACTGGCCAGCAACGCATACAATAATAACATTTATAATAATATTTAATATTTTTTCATATTATTCCCGACAACTGATTGGCCAGGAATGCATCACGTGTCCACCGATAAAAAAAACGATATTGACTTGGAGCGCGTGATTTTTGTTGAAGGACTGGGTGTTTCTAAAAATAGAATTATGATGCGACTCCAAACAAACGCATCGTCCCGCTTTCGTAGATTTTTGCGGTGATTTTTTTTCAGATTGCTAACATTACTGTTTTGAAAATAATAAAACAATTGTAGCCTTTGACTTCGGTCGATATCTGGATTTATCGACCCGAGAAAAGATATATTGACCTCGGACTGCGTCCTCTGTCAATATATCTTTTCTCGGGTTGATAAATCCAGGTATCGACCTCAGCCAAAGGCTATAATTGAATAACATTTATATAGCGCCCTATATAATTTGTAAAATTACTTTAAGGCGCTTTACAACATATGGATAATAGTAATGGTTATAATTGTGAAAACAAACAACAAAGGCTTGCAATCACGTTCATACATTTAACAAGCAATGTGCACATTTACATGACGTCTTTGCAAAGATTCTAAAATGCAGACGTGAAGAGGTGAGTTTTTATGTCCCTCTTGAACTTGGCCAGGGTATTTGACTTCCTAATAGCAGATGGCAAGCTATTCCACAACGTAGCCGAAACCCTCCCGAAGCATCTGTTTCCGTAGGCCACAGTACGAGACTTTGGGACACAAAACAAAGATTCTGACTCCGACCGCAATGATCTTGACGGCTGATACAGGGTAACAAGCTCCTGTAGGTACTGAGGAGCTGTTCCATTCAGTGCCTTGTATGTGTATACCAGAATTTTGTACTGCGACCTGTATCGTACAGGTAACCAGTGCAACGAATAAAGCGCAGGTGTGATGTGCTCTCTCTTTCGAGTACGAGTAACTAGCCGTGCTGCAGTGTTCTGGGCCCTCTGCAGACGACTAGTTAGTTTGTCGATAACAGTGTGTCTGACTGGATGATATTAATCTCATGACGGGTGAATAAAACAGCATGTCGTTCTCACGCGCTCGAGTGTCCCCGGTCGTATTACCCTTATTCGGAACCTCGCTAGAAGAATTAGCAAACGAAGCAAACGACAACATTGTCGCGTCAATCTCATTATCTAAACTATTGGATTATTTGTGGGGTGTTTCGGGGCAATACAATATGTATTGCCCTTGTAGTTGGGAAACACGATTGTTTGAATTTCCGAGATTAATCTTGTTTTCCCTCGTGAAACATGATCAGTCATAGAGAAACAATGTTTCCTGCTACAGGGGCAAAATATATATTATTGTTTCCAGACAAAGTAACATGAGAAACTTCTGAGGATGAAATGTTTCAGCTACATTTTTTTTTTACATTTAGACCAATATTTTTTTGTTGTTGTTTCCGGTAACCTTTTCTACCCTAATTCTGTGTCTACCCTAAATTTTTTAAGGCAAATTTCAACGAAACGCTGTTACAGTGTAGATCACTCTCCTATATAAACCATATAAAAAAATTAAAAAAATAATACCTACCCCTAATTTTGTCCAGCATGTTACAGGAAACACATGCTGTATAGGTATACAGACACTATTTTTTATTGTTTCATATAATATAACAATCTAGAACTTTTATTTCAGTAAACATGTGGTTATATGGACCTAGGAAGTTCACTTCGTCCTTTTCTGGTCCATGTAGTCACAGTTTAACCACACACAAAATCCACAATAGATAAATAAATATTTAAAATGCAGTCGGTCCAATATATCTACCTGGTCACAGCAGGTTATATTACAATACATCTAATTAATAACATCTTTATGCAATTATAAAGACTGTAAGAATATATTTACAATGAAAACATATGGCCAATCCCTAATCCCCCCCCCCCCCCGCATTTTCCCAAACCTCTTTTATATACTAATAATTATCACCAAACTCAAATCAATCAGACTCAGGTATCCACAGTATAACAACATAACCACTCCCCCTCATCAACTCCTGCTCTAATAACTATACATGCACTATATAAAAA